AACTGCCAGCTATGGTCTATTATGTCTGAAGGATTATGGTGAAACAGGAGAAAAAGATTTCTTAAGGATGCTTATGCAGTGGAAGACAGCTTCTGTGGTAGCATGATAAATGATAGATGAGTGGACCAAAAATGCTGGTAAAGGTGGCTTTCCACAAAAGTTGAACACCTTGGGAACTAGGCAGCTCAGCAAACTGCTTCTCTAACCATGCAAATCAAACCTCGATAGCTACTGCCTTGGGCTGTCCTATCCCTTTCTGTGCTGAGAGCTGCTTCTCCTGCTGTGTTCCTTCCATCAGAACAGTGAGTCATACGAAGGAAGTTATTTGTCTGAATGCTGACTTAGAAGTATTTGTTATTAACACAGTCAATTCTTCTGTGTTGTTCAGTGTGTAGCCACTGAATCGCTGTACTCATGTAAAGAAGGTGAAACTAAAAATCTGCAATGCAGAAAATGGAATGGATGAAGCGTTTACTATTGCCACGCAGTTTGGGTGAAACTACAATACGTGCAGGGGAAGAAGCCCCAAGGAAGCATGGTCTTTTGTCACTTTGATAGATGACCTTGATTTAGTCATTTACTACTGGCTTGCATACTAGATTTTTCAGTAGTAGAAGTAATTAAAAGTGGGTAAGACAAGAATGCTGGAAGTGTTTCTTACTGATATGTAATTGCAGTCAATATATCTGGGATTTTTCCTTACCTTGGTCTGCATTCTCAGTGAGCTCTGAATTAAACTTGCAAACAAACAAAAAACGCAACAGCGAACAAAACCAAAACCCAACCAATGCAAAACACAATGTCCTTGCAATAGGAATATCTAGACTCAAAATAGAGAGAAAATTTGCAGTTCACTACTAGCAAGTTGAACCTTGGTTATAGTTATCAGTGAGAACATGTAAAAAAGGCCAGTTGAGTTTAGATTCAGTAACAGAGACGTCTGAATCAGTTAATTACATGTAGATTATGTGTGAGCAAGGTGTCTGGTTGATGGAGAGCCTACCAATACACTTGATGGAGACCAGAGAGCTACTCATTAATCATTCATTTGGTCAAATGAGGTGTGTATTAAAGGGTGAGCTGGATAGTTCTCTAGATTTAACTGACTGTAATGAATAGACCTTCAATACATATAGTGGCATTTTACATATCTATTTCATATCGGCTTACCTAGTTTAGGTGCCGTATCCTGCAAATAAAATCATTATTGCAAAAGATAAGTTGAGATTAAAGGCTGCCTTAACTGCTATTGACAGTATTGACAATGTTTATTCTCCTGTATAAATGTGTTTTATAAAATCTTCCAATCAACACTGTAGTTTCTACACAGCAAAATATTCTGCTGCTTACCACTCTGGTACTGAGATCTTACAACTTAGAGGGTGCAGACTGTATGTAAATCTTTTGGCATTGTTGAGTGTCCATAATCATTTCTGTATCCATGGTAACTGCAGGAGAGAAAGTATGGGCGTATAATCCTTATTAAGTAGTACAATATTATGTTTCTCTTGGTAGACAAAGAGATGATAGCTATTCATAAGCATGTCAAATAACCAGCACATATCAAAATTGAACACATGCTAATTACCAGGAAAATAGAAATTGTTTTAGCATGACTTTAATGTGTGATAATAATTCAGGAATAGAGAAACAAAATTTTTGGAGCTTCTTTTCTGAATAAGGTTAGGCAAATTGACTGATATTAAAAGTAATGTTGTAATTAAGTAGGGATTTTTTTTTCTCATTTTATGAACCATTTTAGGTAGCAAAATTCAGCCTATTTTAGAAGATTTTGAACATCATTTAAAAAAACAAAACTAATTGGACACAACTTTTGTTTTATACTATCTGTCTTTCACCCATTGAATCTTGGGAAAGCCTGAAGAAACTGTAAGACCGTTTTCTTATTGTCAAGAAAGAGCAAAAGTTGCACATAGACACAAGCAAAATTAAACGCAAGGCAAATTTCAGCACTGATGTTTGAATAAGATAAACCTACTCCCTCAAGCATTCAGGGTCTATAGAGGTATGTGTATGAGTGGGAAATGGATGTAACTGAAAAACATGGACTTTAAGAACAAAGGCTATTTTGCTGTAAAAGAGAAAGAGAAACCGCCAATTCTGTACACGGGCAAAAATAGTTTCTACAAGTGGAAGTTTTTTCCCCAGTCATCTCTGTGTTTTCAGCTGCAAGCATAGATTCTGATCCCACAGCAATTTTTTTCTCCAACTGCTGGCCCACAGAAATTTGGCATCAGTGGCTTCCCAGCCATGAATGTCATTCATTGAGTAGAAATCTTTTTTTTTTTTTTTTTTTTTTTTTCCTGTTTTTAACTGGGGGAGGGGAGAGTTGGTTTCTTTTTTTTCTTTTTTTTTTTTTTTTTTTTTTTTTTTTCATTTTCTCCAACTATGAGATACTGATTTTGGGGTTCTGATGTCCTTTACAGTGTCAGAAACTGATTACGTTTAGCAGATTCTATTTAAAGAAAAAAGATTGGAAGTCTTCAGGTTGATATTTTCTGACATAATTAGGTGTGTTTTTTCTCTGCTTTTCCATTCAGCTATGGAGGTGGCTGACATGGAGGTGGAAGACAACAGTGCTTATGTATGTGTGTGAGATTATTAAATAACATTTTCATTTTCTATACTTTATCCAACAATTTCACTATGGAATTAAAAAAAAAAAAGTTTATAGGTTTTGAATGTTTTAATCCTCCCTAAGTACTTTATCATAGCTGAGCCCTTATTATGAATAGGTAATAGTTCACTGTAGGAGTGGTAAGGAACAAAATCTTCATTCTGGATCGGAATCTGACAGTGAACATGAGGACTATAATCCATTTTGTTTTCTGAGTGCCTTCAAAGTACTCTTCAAATTCTGTAATTCCAACAAAAGAAAGGTAGGAAAGTACAAGATCTTGCATCAGCAGTGTTCCATTAATTACATATCTGATTTGAAGAATCTGATAAATTCAATAAATGGGAGTAACGGAGCTCTAGAAGAAGGAACACAGATCTGGAAGGTATCTCAGATGTTCAGTTCAAGGCATTATGCATTACTATTGTAAGGGAGAACCAACTAACTTTTTGGTTTTGATACGTCTGCCTAATCGGTACTTAAAAACTTCATGATTTTTCCAAGTTAATGACTTCCAGTGATTCCGTTTCTTTCATCATTTAGAAAGCATTCCCTGTAATATCTGAGCCAAATTATGCAGCCTGCATGTATTGTTCTGTTCCTGGAGACATTCATAACTTGTAATCATAAAACTAGAATGATCTAGTTTGGTGATGTGACTTTTGACAGCAAGTTTTCCTCGAGAGGAAGAGATTAGTCAGATATATTAAATAGTTCTGTTGTGGATGCAGAGTTAGTTGCTTTGTTCTCATTTTAAGTGTTCTCCTGGAAGTACTGCAGTATGTTTCAATATGTGTGTTTAGCTGGTTCAGTAATTGTGATGATTGAAGATATTAATAACAAAACCATAGTGAAGTTTAAGGATAGTAATACCCTTAAGCCATTTTAGCAGTTCTCTGAGCAAGATTAATATTTATGGGATTTTTTTGTTGTTCCTCTAGAAGGTTGCAAGGGCTGGGGACATCACCCATTCTTGATCTGTATAAGTAGACTCAATTCCCTGAAGAATCTCTGGATCTGGAATTCTGTGCCCAGGAGGGTTAAAGCTTGATGTAATTTACTATTTACATTCTCTAACAAACACTCAAGTAACTGATGTAGAAATATCCATAATGTTTCTTAGCAATATTTCTTAGATGACTACGGATCCTGGAACAGAACTAAGCTATGGAAAGCATAGGTATTTTCACTGACATGAATGTAGAATAGAGGAAGGAGTCTTGGAAATAAAGGGCACACCCATATCTGAATGGCCTAACCTGCTCCAGAATTCCCATAATCTATTCAGACAGACATGAATTGTGGATAGTGGACGCTGAATCTAGCTATACTGAAACTTCCAGGGGATTGTGTTTTGCCAGGAGAATAATGATCAATGTGCATACAGTTCAGACTTTCCAGTTTATCCATCTCGTGGTGTTTCTTACCAATTTACCATAAGGGGTGGGGGGCCAGAAAGGAAGGAGAAGCAGCCATTTAATGTGCCAGAGAACTCAAACAACTTTGTTGGTAATCCCCTCCTGGTGGACGATAGAGTATCTGACTTGAACTGTACTCCCACGATGGCCTGGGATTTCCATCTGAAAAACAGCAGGGCTTTTTATTGTATTGTTTTGGTTTTTTGTTGTTTTTTTTTTTTTTTTTCCCTGTGCTGTACCATCTTATTAGATGTCTGTGAAAGTATTTAAGCAACATTCCTCACAATTTCAAAGGAAGACTCTATGCAAGATTTTCCTCATGGTTCATTGTAAACTTTTGAACTTAATTTCCTTTGCTGACCAGCAACAGTAGCATTTCTAACCATGTAGGCATGGCACAAAGCTTTTATTTTTCCTATGGGTATTTTAAAAAGGTGCTAAGGAAAATGATTTTAAATAAATATTTATCATTATTTCTTAATTAGGTCCCTGCTGGAAGCATAATTTTTCATAGGCAATTCGAATAATTGTAGTGAGTATGTGTAAGTATTACATATGTAAGTAGTGTTGCAGAGGACGTATGATTTAACTGTAATAATGAGATTTTTATTTGGGGATTTTTTACTCTGAAGACAGCTAAGAAAAATCTCAGTGCTTCCCAAAACCACTCTTTCCAAAGAAACCACAATGTTACAGAGCCCTTTCATCATCCAGCATACGGTACTGTAGAACACAAAAATATACACTGTACTACTTTAAATTAATTCATATTTGCAGGAGACAGTCTGTGTGAGTATGTGCAATTATGAAATGCAACTTTTTTTTCCTCTTGACTTTTTTAGCTGCCTCACCCTTTTTATTTGAACACATACATATGGTGTGTGAGAGTGAGCAAGCTCTCTGTAAATGTTTGGAAGGAGCATCTGTCAGACAATAAAACTTGCAAGAAAACATGCTTCTCATTTAAAGTGTATTTGCTAGAGCTATTCCAGTGTTGGAATCAGTTCATTTGTATAGCTTAGAGGCATTAATAAGAACAGAGAACTGTAAAGTCACCAGAAAAATCCAAACTGTTAGTAGGAATCCAAGGTATTTTTTAAAAGCATTTCGTCTATTCGGCATCACAGTCTTCTGGTAGGAACCTGAACCAATTGACATAGAGGAAACCTCTGGCAGTCCGTCCAAAAAGATTGCAAGCAAGAAGATGACATGTTTTCTGCAAACCTGGAAAGTCTAAAGATTACAATAATTGTTGGACCAAAGGGACCCTCTTCAGGCATAAATAGCAAGACTCCTACTGTCTTCTCTTGCAGACCAACTCAGCTGCCAGCAAAAGCAGGTGCTCTCCTCTTACCAGTGCTCCAGAGGAAATATTTAGTGAGTATTCACAGCTCTTTTTATCAATTAATGTACTACTAGTGCTTCAGTTCTATTTGCATAGTTTTCTCAAAAGAAAAAAGCATTTAAATGTAAGGTTTTAAGACTGTTAGTTTAAACAATTGCTGGAGTTCAACAGTCTGATGCAATTATCATATTAATTTAAAAACAAAATTTGCACAGCTTTTGACAGCGACTTTTAAAAAAATATTGTTTTTTAACAACTCTGTAGCTTTAACAGTCTGAAGCAATCTCAGTGTATTTTTTATGTACCAGTTCCAAAGAAGTACTTTATATATATTTTAAATGTATTTGATTTTAAATGTTACGCCATAAAATATTCTTTGTTGGACACAAATTTAAAATAAATCATGTCTTTTGGCAAAGTAACCTGCAATTTAATCTTTAGAAGAATAAATATACCACTAATGTTTTCCACAGAAACAGTTGCTACTCTAATTAATTCAAGATGTGTCTCTAATAAGATTTCAAAAGAAAATCAGAAACAGATTTTTTCTCAGAGGTAGAGCTATGAACAAGGTTAGGATATTTTTATTTTCATTAGAAACACTTGTCCTAGGTACAGTTACAGATTTGTAGCATATAGCCTGGAAATATCAAATCTGAAAATATTGGTATGTTTCTAGAAGCATAACAATTTTGGTGCTTGGCATATGAATTTTCTTTTTGTTAAAACTTATGCTTTGTTACATTTTATTAGGTAACTCTTATTCCTTTCAGAGCTCAGAGTGACTAATGTGTCTGCATTTTTTTTTCTCTGCCTGTGGAAGGGAATGGAAAACCTGATGTTTGTCTACTGCTCCTGCAAAGTTATCTGGACGCTGCTTGTAACAATTCTAGGCTATGCCAGCAGCTTGCCTCTGGGTGATGACTCTATTTGCACAGCAGAGGAACTTGCAAAGTACAGTATAATCTTCACAGGGAAATGGAGTCAGACTGCCTTCCCCAAACAGTACCCGCTTTATAGGCCCCCAGCACAGTGGTCATCAATGCTAGGTAAGTGAAAAGTGCACACTTTTAAGATCAGATAAATCTCTTGATCACTGTGATCTTTTTTTTTTCTTTCTTTCTTTTTTCTTTTTTTTTTCCTCTAATAGTAGATTTTAATATAACTAACATGAAAAGAAGGAAAATAGCTGAAGTTATTAAGAATAAATTGCAGAAATTGAAATATTCACAATGCTTTCAAAAATCTACAACTGTTTTCAATTGACTTCTGTTTTCAATTGGCTACAGCTGAAATAAACAGTGATAAGTCAAATGTTTTAGTGTTCACTCATGCTTAAACACAAATTTTTTAAACCTTAGAAATAAAAGAGAGCATCTGAAGAAATATGGACAGTCTAAACCAGACTTTTCTCTCATGCAATGTATTCACTTAAATAGGTGTTACTCATAGTTCTGACTATAGCATGTGGAAAAAAAATGAATACGCCAGCAACGGTGTACGTGATTTTGCTGAAAAGGGTGAGGCATGGGTATTAATGAAAGAAATAGAAGAAGCTGGAGAGAAAATTCAGAGTGTGCATGGAATCTTCTCTGCTCCTGCCATTTCCAGTGGCACAGGACAAACCTCCACTGAATTACAAGTGCATTCAAGACATCCATTAGTAAGTAAATGTACATACTAATCTTTAAAGGTTTTTTGTGTTTTTTTTTTTTAATGTCACCAGCACACAAAGTTAAATATTTGAGTAGGAATATGACAGTGAAAAATGTTATTTAAAAAAAAAAAAGCATGTCAAATTTTGGTGAGCTCTTAAGAGGTTCTGTAAAGCAGAAGTATATAAAAGCCCATTTATTTCGGAAGTTACAGTTCCAATAAGTAGTACTGGAGAATTTCAAAATAAGTAACGCCGTAAGTAATGCTGGGTTGTTTCATTTCATTAGGTTTCATTTGTTGTACGAATTGTGCCAAGTCCCGACTGGTTTGTGGGTATTGACAGCCTAAACCTCTGTGAAGGGGACCACTGGATGGAAGAGATATCAGTAGATCTATATCCGTATGATGCTGGAACCGACAGTGGCTTCACATTTTCCTCCCCAAACTTTGCCACTATTCCACAGGACACAGTTACAGAGGTAGGTGTGCATAAATAAATTAGAACTCCATATCTCTGTATTTTGAGTCCCCCACTTCAAAGCTAACTGTCCTGTAACTACACAAGGCATTCTCTCATGAAATTGTTTTCAGTATTTGAGAGTACTGATGCTCACTCTACCTGGATTTATTAATAGCTTTTGTTCATTTCCTGTATTATTCTAATGTATTGGGTAAATGCAGAAGCATCATGAAAACTGGCTTACATTTATTTATGTAGACTTATCATAGAATCATTGAATGGCTTATGTTGAAGGGGACCTATTCCACCAATATAATAATTCCAAGACGGTTTTTAACAATTCTTAAAAAAATAGGGAAATGAAAATATTCTCCAGAATTTTGTATGACTAAATTTGTATCCAAACAGGAAAAGTCTAAGTAGGAAGTTATACATACTGATGTGGGGAGGAGTTTTCCCTAGAACACGTTGCTGACACCTGAGTCTGTTACATTTGAGGGAAAGGAGCTGGTGGAAAGCAGAACACATCTCTGTTCCTACTGCAGCTTCTCTACTTTCAGTCTTTTTTTGCTCGCTCTTTGCTTTTGTCATTTTTGGGTGGTGGGAAACAGAGCATCTTAATTCAAAAGTTTTGAATAGTTGAAGCACTCTGTCGATATTTTTGTTAAGGTCAGTTCCTCTAGAGCCAAATGCTGTGCTAATGAGCAGTGAGACGAATAACAGAGAAGCTGGAAAACAATCCATCTGGCCTCCTATACACATATGACATCTGCTACAGCATACCTAATGCTATTATTTAATAGTCTTGTATTCTGTCTTGTATTAACATCCATGGTATCTCAACAAACCATTCCAAACATTACCCTGTTTTCAGTACCTCCCATCCCTATCCTCCATCCAAAGGTTGGCACAATTCACTGTGCCCAATTCAGAAGTATTTTGCTCAAACCATTTGGGATTACCAGAAGTAGTTTTGTGAGCTGGAGCTTACAGAATCCTTTTTTTCTTAGTTGCCAAAAGGAATCAACATGATGCATAAACATGATTTTCCAGTTATTTGTTGCTAGAATGATGTGTTTCTTCAAGGTTCCCTTTTTGTTTCACAGATCACTTGTTCCTCTCCAAGTCACCCAGCAAACTCATTTTATTATCCCAAACTCAAAATTTTGCCACCTATTGCTCAAGTAACAATGGTGAAATTAAAGAAAAACCAGTTGGGTTTTCCCATACCTCATCTTAACCAGCCAGCTAAAAGCAATGAAATACTTGACACGTTCTCAGGTAAGTGATTGGCACTGAGATATTCTCAATTCAGTAATTTCTGTTCATTCAAAAAATGTGTGGCACTCTGGTAAGTGATGTGGATGAAATAGGTGATTAGGCAGAGTATTCTCCTATTTGCATTGCAATAGTTTCCACACTCACACACGGGAAATAAAACAAGCCAATTGACATAACAGAGAATCTCTGAAAAAATAAGGCATGGATTTCATGCTTGAGCTACGGTTCAAAGGCTTGAGTTGTACCACAGTGAAGTTTGCTCAAGTCTTAGTATCACCATAGATCAGTGAATTTTATGACAAATACACAATATTGATCAGAATTAAAACTCCACAGATTCTTTGCAACTTATAAGTAAATACTCCTGCTTAAGTTCTTGCATGATGATGCAACAGAAGAAATAGTACATACTGTATGCATCCCTGGACATATTTGTGATAGTACCAGACATCTTGAAAATAAAAATATCACTCTCTCTTTTTTTCTTTCCTTAAAATACTAGCAAATAACCTTGTTTAGGTAGAGTGGCATTGGAACATCTGACTCAAGGTAGTTTGGAGGATAATAAGAAGAAAATTTGTTCAGTGTGAAAGATAGCAGTTGGTGTCTGTGTAGTTATTCCCTTTATACTTTTCTGATAACTTTTTATAAAGTGTAACAGAAATGGTTATGAATAAGGCTAACATCCCAAATGCTATTTGAGAGACAGCTAGGGCTAAATCTCCAATGCATTTCTTACATAAATCATGTTCCAAGAAAAGCTTCTCCAGAATAAGTCTGAAGATTAATGCCTCTAGCTGTGTCCTAAAGACCCCTCATGATTGCTAAAATAAAGTTCATTTCCCACGCAGTTAACAATGCACGATTTATACTTGCGTAAGTGCATTTCTTTATGAAGTTTGAGTAAATGTTTTTCTATTAGTAAACAAGGCAATTTTGAAGTGAGTCTATGAATCTTATGTCTTTCCTGCAACATATGAAAGGAACATTTGTCCCTCTTTAGCATACAAACGTAATACAACTCATGCAAAGCACACTGTTTCAGGAATCATTTTAAATCATGTATCTCCACTTTACAGCATATTAACCAGTAAATCAGTCTATTCAAAAATATATTCCAGAAGCAAGAGGACAGATTTAATTATCAGAGATCAAACCATGTTGCTCATTCCTGTTAGAAGCATGAGAATCGATTATTGTAACAGAAGCAGTGAGTTCCATTGTAAAACCAGAAATTTATACCAGAAGTCACATATTCAGTACAGCATTTAAAGCTGGTCTTGTGCACAGCTATTTTATGCTCAAATGCTGTAATACAAAGATTTGATGCAATTTCCTGTGACCAGCAGTGTTTTTTATTTAGCCTCTTAAGGAATAAACACCTTTTCATTTTATGGTGGATGTTTTCAATGGAAGTTTACATTATGCAAAGTGTATTTGAGTTTCTGATTTCTTTAATTGCAGTAAAACTACATTGAAAACACTTTTAGTATTAAAAAACTTCTAGTTACAGAATAACTTTTATTGGCAAAGGGAACTCTAGGATACATACCAAAAAAGATTTCCTGATTAAAAAATGAAACTTTCTTTGCTTCTGAAGCAAGAGTTAAATGAAGAGGAGTTAACTGGAATCTGATCTAACTACAGGAACAACATATCCCTCCAAAGAAACAGAAATGTACATAAATAAACCAGATAAAAGCTTTAATTCCAGTGTTTTTACTAGGGAATTGAATGACAAATAAATTATAAAATTGACACTGTGTTTTTGAATGCAATTTTTTTTTTAATGTAATCACTTAAAACATAGTCTTTTGGGATAAAAATGCTACATTTTCAATGCAATAAAAAATCTGCTGCACTACTGCTGTGGTACCTCTGACAGTCTCTTGACTGCAGTAAAAATAATAGCAATGTCCTTGAATTTAGGAGCTGAAAACAGACGTTTTTGTTTATAAGACAACATATGGATTTCATTAATATCACATGTATTTTTGTATAAGAAAGGATGCTGCTACTTGATAATCATTCCTTAATGCTTTGCCAACTATGTATTTGCCTTCAGCAGAAAATTTTGCAGTTACCTTTTTATTGTGTATTTTCCAGAAACACCACTGGACTGTGAAGTTTCACAGTGGTCTTCCTGGGGTCTCTGCAGAGGTCCTTGCAGAAAAACAGGGACCAAGATCAGAACTCGTTTTGTAGTTCTTCACCCTGCTAATGATGGAATGCCTTGTCCAAGTCTGGAAGAAGAAGCAGGATGTGAACCAGATAATTGTGTCTGAAATAAAGAAAAGATAATAATTTAGATAATTTAAAAGTAAGATAAGTGTAACTAAACCTAAAACACATGTCATTCAGTCTTCCTTATAATTCAGGTATGCCACACTATTTTGCTGACAAGATATATTAGACTGGTTTTGAACATTGCTGTTTAGTATCAAGACTTTGGGGTGTTACATTCTTAAGGTTTAGTATGACAACAGTACTTCATCATTTACAGATCAGAAAACCCAAATAAATCTCTGTTATACACTCTAAGTTCTTGGAGTACCCTCTAGTGGCAGAAAAGAAGACATTTGGAAAGATTTTGCTTCGGATGTGAAAACCATGCAATCAAAAAATCTTAACTAATAACATCCTTAAATACTGTAATTTGTTGATTTACAACTATTTATACCTAGCAATTAATTTTTTTCTCTAAATTATGTATATTGTAATTTATTGGCTATTTTGTTGTCTTTCTAAACATGTTTTACTTGCCTTTCTTCAGAAACTACTTCTATAAATCAGAGTGACCAGATTTTTGCAGTGTGGCTAAGACAATAACATGATTGAGTAAACTCATCTTGAGACTTATGAATACATGAAAATGTCTTTTTTTTTTTCCCCCCTCAAAAGTGAGAAGAATATCTACCACGAGGACACTCAGCCAACAAAATTACTAGAAAGAAACAGAAGTTTGGATAGCAGTAGAAAAACTCTGAACTTAACTTTAAAAGCTTAACTGAGATTTCAGACCTGATCGATGCTTAGTGTGTGCCCCTAATGAGGCAACTGTCTGAAAAATAGTTGTTAAGACATTAACACTGTTGGCTGTAATAGAAATTATATAATTCTCTCTGTGTATGCAGTAAATGTGTCCATGTTTCTTTAAATGTGTTTGTTGCTGTTTGTGTCATCCTAAACTTTGCAAAGAGAAAACTTAATGAGGTTCTAATATTGTCTAAGGCAGAGGTATACGCATATCTAACAAAACACAGTATGTCAGAAACCGCTCCAGATGGCAAGCTTTAATGCTCATATAAATGTTTATTATAAAATTCAGATGATCCATATCCCATAAAGAATTGTGACAACCAACTAAGAAACGAATTTTGAAATAAGACTGTTCATAGGAGATATTTACAGTCAACTCACAAAACTTTTACAGCACATTGCAGTTCTACAAACACACTGAAGCTAAAGTATTGAATAGGAGACAGTGGGTTGCATAGGTTCATTTTGGAATATTTCAACTACAAGAGCACCCTGTATTCTTTGTGGAGCAGAAACATGTAAAAAGTTCTCTGTATTTTTTTACAGGAGATAAATCTTACAAAGACCCAAGGGAATTTGAAACATTATCAGGCTAATCTAAGTTGGTCCTGAAATGCTGATGAATGCACAGTTGTTAGAGCTAAAAATAGGAGTTTCTACATCTTACATTCTTCAGGTTCCCATGGGCATGTTGTCAGAATTATGTCACTATTTTTTTATTATACCTACCTATTTTCTTCATGGTCCCCTATGTCCATTCTCTAATAGAAAGAGTGTTAACAAAATATAATTTATATATTTTGCCTCTAGTTACTTTCTCCTTTTCCAGTTTCTATCTTCTTTGTATATTAATTTTTCCTTATTTAATATTTTCTGTTAAACTTATTTACTGCATAGTTAAACAATTATCTCCATCTAAGAATACAGAAGCATATACTGAAATATGCTCTGAGGACAGAAACTGAATTCAAACTGACACATCAACTGCTTGTAGACTTAACTCCCACAAGGTTTTGCTGAAGTGCAAGGTATTCTTAGTAGTATTTTTCTAGAAGTTCTCTAAACACTGGAGTTTTGGTTCTTTGCATGTCCAGAAAAAAATACATAAGGCTGGCAGAAAATATCTGCATCTGTAGTTGTCTATGTGAATAGAGGATTTCAGCCTTGTAGGATATGATGCAATACTGGAGTAGTCCCAGCATTTACTCAAATTCCTGATACCAAAAGTTTTTCTGGGAGAAGATAGAATAGAAAAGGAAGTAAATATATAATAAGACAACACATTTTAGTGTTAGAAATACTGGGGACGAGGACATTTCTTCACAAGATTGGATACAGTGAGTTCTACTGAAGAATATTCTCATGATAGAACACATTTCTCATAATGTATTTTTATTAAACTGATTAGTGGGATATGTGATCCCTGTGTGGGATTGCTTCGTTACTTTTACTTTGAGCACAGTTTTAGATTTATCTTCACAGTTCTGAGACAATGAAGAAACAGAGAGAATCTCTTTCTTACTTTTCCCTTATGTGCAGTGTTACTGATGGCTGGCAGCCAAGATAATATGGTCCTAAACACATAAGATTAAGGGAAGGAAATAGGTAAATTAATTTCTGGGTTAAACTAATCTCAGAAAACGCTTAGGGAATAAACTTAAAATGGATTTCAAAGTACAGGTTTTTTTTAAGCAATAATGTTATGTAGGAAAAATCATGTTTGCTGTCTGGGCAGGCATTCTTGCAGCAACGGAAGATATGGTTAAAGGTAAGTGTAGCAGCAAAAAAGTCACTGCTGACTTAAAGTGTGGTTCTACAAAACACGTGGACACCAAATTCAGTACCCATAGTGCAATAGGGTACCTCACTACTGAGTACAGCTTGTCCACTACCCTAGGACATTTGGTTGTGAACATATGGAAACTTTTTCTGTTTTTTGATGAGTAGCAATGCCATCTGAAGCTGTCTACATTTCTGCGTGTTTGGTTTTTTTTTTTGTTTTTGTTTTTGTTTTTTTTTTGTGGGACGTTGCTTTGCTTTTCTGCAGACATCCAGAGCCTTGGTGCTTACTGACTTAGGAAAAAGTACATTTCTAGATAAGTGAGGATAGATGAGGGACTACTGTGATTGGTGAACTGAAAAGATCTTCCACATACTGTAGTGTAAATGCTGGCTGTGTAAGCCTTAATGGACTATACATTTAGTTCTGCCAGATAGTCCAAAGGGACTGGGATGGCTCCTTGGGGAGTGTGTGTGTCCTCTGTTAAATATCAGTATGGGGATGGGTGGTCTTGGCTTCACTGCAAAACAGCTCCAGTGTTCTAGCCATGCTGCAGAAGTGAAGCACAATCACAGATACTAGTGAGTTCCTAACTTCTAGAACAGGAGGGAAGGTGTAGGCCAGCCTTTCTCATCACTATGAGGACTGTCCCCAGCATAGCAAAAGGGTATGAACAAAAGATATGACACTTGCTAATACTGAAAAATATCAGTGCTGGATACTGCCAATACCAGGTAATTAATTGGAGTACTATGGGAACATTAAACCTGATCCAACCTATAAAATAACTCAGACTATTTCATGACAATATCTAATGCACTCAGAAAATTTCATTCTTGAAATCAGCTGAATCCTGTTTAATAGGATATGATGTGTGAAAGAAATTTTGTCCATGATAATTTACAGGTACTCTAAATGACTGAAATAAAAAGCTCTTCATATAATGCACAGCACCTGGTTGCCTGGAGACTGATTTATCCTTGTTTGATTGAAGTCCATCAGCCCTGCTATGATAGCATATGCTAGCCTGAAGTATGGAAGTGCCTGTCTTCAATGTGTTTAGATAGAGTAAAGGATCGAATGATGTCCCCTTGTATGTCTTGCTTTTGTTCTGGCACTGGAACATTTTTTTTTTAGAGATCTCAAGTCAATAAAAAGCTAAAAGGGTGCTTGCTTAAGTAGTTCACAATCTGAAGCCAAACATGTTCTTTTAGCAGGTGCAGAAAGGCATGAGAATTTATGCAGGTGCATGTCAGTCAAGAACTCCCTGTTCTGGAGAATCCAGTTATGCAATCAGATTCTAAACAATGTGTTCTTATTTGTTCTGAATCCATCAGAACAGAATTTCCATCAGAATAAATTTCTGATAAATGCTAAAGTAGTAATGAAGTCCTAACTTCACTCTTGAGGCTGTTCAGGATCTGATGGCCATGAGATGTGATTTCTATATCAGTAGAACAAGGAGTACAAGGATCTTCTGAATGGAAAACTGAATTCAAAATGGGGTCCTCCCAACTGAAAATTACCCCAAAGGTGGGTACTTTGTGCTGTGAAACACCCACATACTCTCTCACTTTGAGTAGTAACTGAGTTTGTCATCAGCCATATAGATTGTTTAGTTTGTAATGGTACAAAGGATATTAATAAAAATCTCAATAACTACTTGATTTACAATACAACTTTATTCAGAGAATTTATTATGCAGTATCCAAGAAAAAAACAGTTAAGTAAATAATCTTATTTAGGTAAAGTGTTAATTCAATATTTTTTTCCTTTTATACCATAATCATTATTGTTTCAAATTCATTTTTTGTTCAGGTTCTTCACTTCCTATTTCTTTCAGCCTTTTTATGTAGTCGCTATGATTTATGTATGGATATTGCAATGATGATGATTTAGGTTACAAATTACAAGATTCTGAAATAACAGAGTAGTGAAATTTTAAAGCACATTATCACTGGAGAGGAATCAGAAATGTAAGTTTACACTGAGCATTTTATGGAAAGAGATAGCCAATGCGGTTGCTAATAGAGAACCAGTCTCAAGTACTTGAGAGATGCTTCCAAGTTTCATACTACTGTATGTGTATAAAATAAAAGTTTAATCTAGTTGCTGGGAAATAATAAAGATTTTACAAGTTTTCTTGTTATCTCATTCTACAGAACACACTGTGGTTATTTATAAATGTGTAACCACCAGCTGCATTTTCTCATAGTTTTTTCTCTCTTTCAAACACACACACTGATAAGCAGCAAATGAGGAAAAACCACAGGGCTACATACTTCTGCAGTTATCTTCAAAAGCAGTGATACATAAACAACTGGGATACATAAAAATAATGAAAAGCCAATTAATCGGATTTCTTACGAGCTTTTGGATTTCTTTTTCACTTGCTTTGTATTTTCATAGTGGAGAAAGAGAAGAGAAATGTGTAATTGAAGATGTTCCCAGTGACACACTGGTAACTGGTAGGTACCTGTCTTTGCTACATGGTGATCTATGCAGTAATAGAATTAGTTTGTAATTTAACAGAAAAAGATGTGACTAATGAATATGGTAAAACTACAGTGATAAGAAAGAGGGCACACTACAAGTCCCTACAACAGTGACTAGCCACTATGTCCTCACATATTTGGCATGTAGATTACATAGAAAATGTTTTCCAGAGAGCTTAAGTGACCCAACATAGAAAAAAGTCTTCACATTATGTTATGACCCATTCATACCAGAATTTTTTAATTAGCAATGTTTTGGAAAAAAACAGTTCAAGATGTACTGAAGTTCTATTCAATCTGGGATATCACAAATATAGTAAATGCATGTACAGCACACGGAGTGTAAGATTGAAAGGTGGTAGTCAAAATGAATATATAATAGTTTTTGCAAATAATGTGATAAATATGAAAGACAATTAAAAAAATGTGATTTGAAGACAGTATACTTTCTCTTCTGGTGGTCTCAGTTTGTCCTCTGGATGCTGATCTTGCCAGAGCATTAGAAGTAATAAAAAAGTATCACTTGTTAATCAGTCTTTTGTCTAGTATTCTAAGATTTCCTAGTGTACTAAAAATTCATTGCACTTCACACTGCTATGAAATGCCTCCTGAGCAGTTTCATTTGTAAGTACATGAAATACATGTATTATTTTATTGCTAATCATTTGTCTTTATATTGTTGCTGGAAAAAGCAATAAGGATGTTTAATATTAAGCTATGTTTTATTTAACAGATTTTTATCTGTGTTTTTATTCAGGGAATTACAAAGTACAGAAGTGGGATATGCATAAACATGACTTTCTTGACTCTGCTCCTGGTTTAGGAATGTTTGTGACTGTTCTAACTCCTACCTCTGAGGTAAATATTCTTAATGAATGTTTCTGTGTGATTCATGTATTGACTTTTGATACTGGCAGACAAAACTATCAAAAAATACGGATGTTTTGGGGATAAAGTGAATCCATAATCCATCAGCCAGCTCAGTATTTTGATGTTGAAATGCATAAGCACCTCGTGATTGTTTTCAGAATAAATAGAAATGGCATATTTGGAAAACCATATGGAATCTTTCGTAGTTTTGTGGACAATTTTTTGCATGTCTACCAGAATTGCAAAACTATGTCATAAAGACTAGTAAGCTACAACTGAGAAAACAGGCTAGATTATAAAATAATGGAAATTTACTAATGAAGCAAAATGGTATTTGAGCAGCAGACAGGAAGGCTAATAATAAAACAAACTATAAAAGACCAGATTACTAGGCTGCATGAATCCATCATGCATAGCAACTGCTTCTGTTGCCATGAGCTCCTGAGCTTTTTCAACAAAGGGCAACTAACTCTATGCCTAAACAAGGTCTTAGTTTTCAAACTTGAAATGCTTGAGAGACCATTACGTTTTGTACCTTACAGATATTCATAGCATTTCAATGTTTACTATGAAATTAAATTCTTTATTATTCTCTCAGATAAATTCAGCGTTTTCAGGAGGTTTAATTGAGTAATTTTTACATTCATTTCAGAATGCTGCTTTTTGTTATTTTATTAATATCTATACTGTACATATCCAAAACATATTGTATCTAAATTACAGGTAATTTTGTCAAAACTTTATGGGCCAACAGCAACATTTTCATTTACATCCTATCTATCTGGGGAACATGTTATCTGTTTGCAATCAAACTCCACGAGACTTGTGGCATTTGCAGGAAGTAAATTGGTAGGTGTACTTCTTAAATATTCTTTGTTGTAATAGTATTGATTGTATACAAACTGCAGGGCTTATAAAATGGATGAGAAGTTTAATTTCTAGTAGAAAATTCAACATTTCCTTGTTATTGGAGATGAAATATTTATAATTATGAATATGAAAAGATGAAAAGACAATTCTGATATCTAATTTAAGATTAAAGAAGTAAGACTAATAACTATAAATTGATTTAATGTTTACACAGTGCTTTGAATGTGGAAGGATTTTGATCAATAACAACAACAGTTTGGATTCAGAAAGATCAATATGTGAGACCAACTAACACAAGCACTATCACAAAACTACTTATTTAACGCTATTGCATGGCTTCACTATTTAGCTTGAATTATTTCAGAAAACATTTAAAAACTACTTTGAGCAGAGAATAGAAAATATTTTCATAATGGTTAAAGCAGTACTAGTATAAAACAGTGCCCTAAATAGTTAGGGAACATTTAAAATTTGTATAGTTAATTTTAAAATGAAATTAAGAAACACTTTACATATTCCATCTGATTCTTACTTTAGGAAGGATTTCCATAAGCATTTAGAACTATTTTTCTGTAATGAGCTTATGGGGAAATTGTCTGCTGTTTTTAAGGAATTATGAAATCAAGAAGACACAGTAATGGGAATATTTTTTTTTGTTCTCAGCGTATTCATTTGGACATTAGAATTGGAGAACATTTCCTGGATGAAGCTGTTGTTCAAGCCAAAGACAAAGTGAATAAAGTTAATGTTGAAATAGAACATCTTCTTGAGCAAATTCATCACATATCCAAAGAACAAAACTATGAAAGAGTATGTGTGTTCCTTAATATAAATATTAAAGAATACTTTGTAATGGTTTATTAATTATTAAGTAATGTGAGGTTTATTATTTAATTGCAGTATTATGTTTTGGTAAGCCATAAAAAAAAAAAGAAACAAACCCAAACATCCCACATTGCCTTACAAAATATTTCTAAACTGTAAAGAACAATATAAAAACTAATTAATCACTATGAATTCATGGCTATAACAGCAGGTGTTGTTTTAAAGAAGGAATTTCCAAACATAGTTTTCGTGGCCAGAGCCAATGACAGCGGTGGAGCAGGTGGCAGGTACCATTGCGGATGATGTTGCCAGATGTTGTTTCCATGCTGGTCTTTGTGTGTAAACTTTACTGCAATGGCTAAGGAAACAACTGAATGTGATTTATATATTCTCATTTCATTACAAATAAGGCTCTCCTTCAAACAAGACTGCACCCATTATCTTCATTTTTCTACATGCGGGCAATCAGATTGTGTTTAGAACTTATCAACTAGTTCCCTAACAAAACAAATTCAGCTGCAAATAGTTTCTTGACTGCAATGTGGAGTGACTGCAAACCTGAAGACTTAAGCATGTATTTATGGGACATAAGTATATATCATTGTGTCAAAATAACAATACGTATTTTAGCAACAAGGGAAACATTGCCTTTCTGCTTCAGAACAGGAGTGTGTTTGCTTCTTAGCTTTTATTTGTACATCGGACAACATATGAATAAGAAGAAATGTTCATTTTTCTCTATACAAAAAAAAAAAAAAACGAAAAACAAAAAAAAACAACCAAATGTGCTTACTACTATGCAGAAGAGGGGTGTATGTCTAGTTAATAGGATAGTAGTATGTAACATGCAGAGTTGGTATGTAATAATTATGTTTTTTTCTTTTTTTTTCTTCAGGAACGTGAAGAAAAATTCCGGAAGACAAGTGAACAAACCAACAGAAATATATTGTGGTGGGCTGTTGTACAAACATTAATCCTTGTCTCCATTGGAATCTGGCAGATCAAATCTCTCAGAGATTTCTTTATAGCTAAGAAGCTTGTTTAAGTTTTACAAAGATGCAAAATTTCCTTGCTACCTAATGCCTAATATCCAAAGAAACCCTGTTATCTTTGAGAAAATACACTGTATAAAACTCTCAAGCTTGAATCATCTTCTACTAGAGTTTTTACTCTAAATCTCTTTTCTCCATTTATATGTATCTGGCCTTCTCTTAAGTTTTAATCCTTGAATCTCACCTTCTATCAATTCCTTTTCCTCTACAGATATGAAGATAAATCTAGAAGAAAGACGAGCATTCAAGCTCAATTCAGGATTGTTAAATTTAAAAGAGAAATCTAAATAAGATATTCAAAATTCTCTACTTGTTTAGTAACATTGTTCTTATTGTCTTGAACAGATCAGTGTTTCAGCTCTGATTGACTTAGTAGGAAGACAAACAATTATCTCTCTTGTGGTGAGAGCATCTTGAACTGAACACAATACCAACTTTTCCTCAGATATAATTGTGATTATTTTTTTTAAAGTAGTGAAAGATTTACATGACAGTGGAACCTATTGTGATCAATTACCATGGAAGAGGGAGATCCGTACAAACTGCTTGGAATTGCTCTCCATTTTTGCTCCTAGATAAGCCCTATAAATTAGGATATAGAGTTGAGATCTGACCTTTCCCACAGTTTATGTTTAGCCTTTATGAAGAATGACAACATAGACTAAGTTACAGGTTTCTTGGCAAACACTGAAATTTTGCCTATATATTTTCTTTTAAGGTATACTTACACTAAATTCTGCGTTCTGATGCTGTATTGATGATTGTTTAATTTTAATTATTCAGTAACTGTAACATTACTGTCTAATGAACTTAGCAGTATTACCGTTTCACTTATTGCAGCTTGACTGAATATATCTGAATGCCTCGAATTAGATTACTTTCTGTACAACCACCTGAGTAACTACAATATCATGCAGTCATGAATCAAAAGCTGTGGTTTAAAATTCAAATAATTAGCTTGACAAAGCAACATTAGTGTAAGAACAGGAGGAGATGGCATGATCCACCTCCCCACCTGGTTAACACATAAAGAGACAGTCTTTAAGAAGGCTTTCTGGAGGGCACTCTGAGAGAAGAGTGCTGCATTTTGTCCTCCTGCTCTTTTTTTTCAATTGCTTTTCTAGTCTAAAAGTTGCAAGCTGAAATACCTCCTGAGAAATTCTAAAGGCAGAGCCTTCTTTCTTTTACTTATATTCCTTCTCACCTTTTGTTTTCATTACCAAGGAATGACCTTGTCCTGTAAGTAGGTTTCCTTTCGCAGTATGAAAATGTATGTGAGAATCTCTGTAGTTACAAAGTAGAGATAAAAAACAGTGCTCTACAGACAAAATCAATTAAAATAAAATCTTATAATAAAATATGTCTTTATAAAAAAAAATGCCTCTATAAAGTCTTATAAAGCTACTCTCTGAGATGTGTCCTATATTTAAATTTCCAATACCTCGGGAACTGTCACTTGAAATGACCAATATGTGAGTGCTATTAAATTCACTTCTATAGAGTACCCATTTACAATATGCCTTGTAATAAAATGTTTGGTTTTGGGAAAGAAGAAACATGAGTTACACCTATATGGTATGTGAATTTGAAGAAGAAATCTTAACAACAGGGTCAGGCTTTGGCTGATATTTAGTGTAAGGCTCCTAATACACCCCAATAATAAATATAAATAACCTCACTCAAAATGCAATTATGCTTTTAAACCAAGGGCAAGCACCATGTCAGAACTCACAGAAGAGATGATTAAACTCTTCACTATTATGTTTAACCACAATCCAACACTGAGGCTTCACGTCTCAGTTAGAGAGTTCTTCATTCTTTCTTAGATTTTTTTTTTTTTTTTAATTTAATATCTTTGCTTCAGTGAAATGCTTTTGGTGTCCTTCAAGATTCCTAACTAGGTGTAGAAAGCAGAAGCTCAGTGGCAGTTCTCTGGGGGCAGCAGACTTCTTAAGGCTCCTATGCAGCCTCTGTGTGTGTCAGGAGGTCTCATGGCGAAGCGCCCACACAGAGCCCTGCTGAGGCTCTGTCCCCTGTGGAAGGAGGGAGGAAACACAGAGAGCACCCTCTGTGTGGGCACCCTCTCAGGTTTGGTGGCAAGCGGCTGTGAAGCCCCTGTTATTGTGGAGTGAGGGTTAAATCCTTCTTCCCCCCACTCTCCACAGAGGGTGGAGAAGGGGTGCAGCCAGCTCTCAGCTCGGGACAGATGGACGCGACAGAGGCAGGCCTGTAGGCCTCGCAGGGTGGGTGTCCACCTCACCCTCAGGCTCCCTGCAGCCTCTCCTGCCTTTCCACCCCATGGCCATCCGAGTATTTTGCAACTCCTGCTTCTGTGAGCCCCGCAAGGCCTCACCACGGTTCATCTTCACCAGCTGTGGCCATGTCATCTGTGAGCTCTGCCTCCAAAAAGGTAATGGCTGCCACAGGCCAGGCTTTCTGCTCCAGCCAGGCACTGCTGGCAGGCACATCTTTACCTTCCCCAAAGGCATTTCCCACTCACTGTGGAAAAAAGAAAGGCCTTTTCTATTGTTGGCCTCCTGTTATTGATAAACCTTTTCAATTGCTGCCACTGATTAATTTGCAAAATCAACCTGTGAAGGCCTCCAGGTGAATCTGGCTGGAGGTATTTGACTTTGAGAACAAGCCTTAAGCACCTAAATAAAAATTGAGCCCAGATGCTTATGAGCCATGCCTGCACTATAAAAACAAAATAAGATAAGAATCTTCTCAATCTCATTTTGGAAAGGGCGTGCTTCTTCATTAGTGAGAGAGCAGTTTGTAAAATAAAGGATTTGTAATTCCAAGATAGATTTTGCTACTAGTCTGAGGATATTTTAAACCTCAGTATTGTCAGTGAAATGCTACAAAAATTTCAGGAGGGTTAGGGGGATTGTAGGTGATGTTTTGAAGCTCTTATGTGCTACACTCAGTTTCTGAGACATATTCTGGGAATCCTGTGGTGTTCTCCCATGAGGATATCTGGGAAGGATGTAGGGGAATAGAAAAGCTCCTTTTCAAAAGAAAAAAATTAATGTTTTTTCCCCTCTTGGTCATATGAGATGACTTACTTTTATTAAGTGTAGCAGAAAAAAGTGGTACATCTTTGTTTCATAATTAAAAATAAGTCTTTCGCCTAAAAGACTTTGCATTATTGCTATAGAAGAGAGAGGATATAAATATAACATGCTGGCTGATAGAACATGCATCACGGGTTCTCTTTCTGTTATTCTAATTTGGCAAAAAATGTCTCTGAGACACCATTTTTTTTCTGAACTCAATGATAGTGAAATGTTATGCTCTTTAAAGATGCTTAAGAACATTGATCTTTAGGACTCTTAGACAGGGAGCATCTAATAAAATCATCAAATTTATTGTAGTCATATGCATTTACTAGAGGTAGTTGCTAATACATTTACAAATAATCAGAGACATTTAAAAAGTAATAAAGTTTTAGAAAGGGATTTAAAAGGTGATTAATTTTTTCACAGAAAAGAAGAACAAGGAGAAATTATTAATTCTTTGAAGTTAAGGCTTCATATATTTTATCTATAGAGTAAGACTAAGCCTCAAACTAAGAAGTCATATATCTGGTTGGCTCTAATTCATTAGTGCACTTAAGCATGCACTTAATTAAACCAGGCAAGTAGTCCTATTTAAATCAAAGGAACTAAAAGTCACCTGCATTCACTGACACTAATGATATTCATAAAATCATTTACATGAATACTTATTTGCAGGATTAAGACGTGATGATATTCACATACAATTGTGTGTACTGGGTTGCAGACTCGAAGTCTTTATTCTTGTTTATTTGAATTTCTTATATAACATTCACATTACTTCTATAAGCTTGAAACACAGGTTTAGGCAACAAATTCTATCAAAACTATATACAATATCTATTCCATTTGATGTATATTTTAAGTGTGTCTTTACTTACAGGCAAAAAAGATGAATGTTTGATCTGCAGAACTCCTTGTCGTACAGTATTCCTTTCAAAAGAGGTAAATGGAACTTTAGTACTAATATATTGCATTAATCTGTGGTTTGTTTAACAGCTAAATTATTTGCATTACAAAATACTTCCTTCTGTTTGCCAACTGTGACATGAATATTTATTGATGATAGCTTGGTAGCCTTGAATTTTTTTGCACTATTCTGCTTTTAGTTTTACAGATTTTCAAAGAAAAGGCTACATAGACTTTTTATGTCCTCTGATTCTGTTAGACTGTAAATCACTCAGGCATTTTCAAGAAATGTGACTGGCTACTTTGTAACATCAGTAATCTGTCAAAATGTGAAAAATATTTGTACATCAGAGAAAGTGAACTGTAATGAATTCATTTGTGTCATGGACTCAAGAAAATTTGCATGCTGGCCCATTGATGTTTTCAAGTGTATTGGTCTTTTTCTCCTTATTTTCTCTTAAGCTTGTTTTCCTCATGACCCTGTGAATATTAAATGATATGGACTATTGAAAAGAGTTATTCACAAGGCAATGAATAGCTTTTAGTTCTCTTAAGAAATCATTAGAAATATTTAATTTTCTCATTTCTCCCATGGAACCAGAAGATGTTTCTCCAAGAACCATCTTCTAAGCTGATTTCATAAGGGGGCTTTGAAAATATTCATATTTTCCTAGAGTGACACCTGGCTAAGAGACAAGAATGCCTTAGAAGTATAGAAGAAAAGCACTCAAGGCATTCAATACAGTTAAAACAGCAGTCATATAAAGCTATAAGGCAATAATGCATGTGAACTAGAGGACATTTTGGGACTAACCATGAAGAGGTGACCTTGGTGAAAAGCATGATTTCTCTATCTGTGTTTAAAATTGTGCTGATACATACATAAATACTGAAACCTGAAGAGGACAATGCCACCAAAAAGTAAATCATTGCAGCAAAAGAGTCAAATGCCAATATAATTAGAAAGAACAACAAACACCACAATCAAATAAACCAGAAAAGAAACGCAGAGAACCTCCAAAAGGAGGCATTTTAATAAGCCTTCATTATCAGCTTGCTTAGATGTAAGTTTTATTATCAATTTCACTCATAGGTTTTTTCACTCATTTAGGTTGTTAGAGGACTCTGGAGGTCATCTTGTCCAGCCTCTTCCTCAAAACAAAGCTAAATTCTGGGTTAGATCTGCGTTAAATTGCAGCATTTCAAATTGATAATTTAATTTAAATATACTGAAGGAATTTAAAAAATGCAATGGGTGTTTCGTTAGAACCTGCCATTGCTCTGGAGGACAGAAAGGCAAATTACCATATTCTTTAAAAAAAGGCATGAGTGATGATTACTTAGCCTTGATTAAGAACAGATAAAATGATTGGAATGTTAATTAAAGATGCATAGAAAGAAGTCTTAAGGCTGTATAATTTAGGAATCTGGGTGGAAATATACATGGAAACCTTTCTATGCTTGTGCTATGGCATTCTCAGTGAGTAGGAAGTCTTGTAAATGTGTTAAAAGTCCTCACTAAATTGTATATTGCTGTAATCAACATCCACACATTAAATATTCTTATCTTTGCATCAGTGCATGCCATTCACCTTTCTGCTTTCCTCCTATGGTCCTCGCTTGCTCTTTCCAAGAGGATCATTAAGCTTTCTGATAAAACAAAATCTCACTGTTCATGATTTCAGAATATCTTGTTAACATCTGCTATTCTTCCATCAACAAATAATATTTAAAATGTTTTCTACAGTCCTTCATTTTAAAGAGTTTATAAATCAGCAACAAAGTTTATTTTTATTTCTTTCGGGATCAGAGACTCAAACCAAAGTTGTTGCTCTGCCAGGACTCTAAATAAATTTCTAGTGCCATCCCCTATGAACACATCTTAAAGACTTCAAATATATTTTCACTGATACTTTGCCTTGCTTGTTTTTTATTTACTCTAATGCCTTAGATGGCTTAGACTGTACCATTGCTCTGTCAGCTTTTTTCTTTCTCATTCTGTCTGTTCACCAGGTGGAACTTTTTGAATGCTTTGGCTAATGTCAACCAAATTCAAAGGGCAGAGGATATTCAAATGCTATTTATTTCCTCCCGTCTTTGAAAATTGGTAGCTGGGGAAAACAAGGAGAAGCAGTTTAGTTCCCCTGATGAGAGAAATGCAAGTTCACCTTAATCAGTAGGTAGAAGTGCATTTGGCAGCCACATGCACAGTGTTGGAGTAACAGTCTGTGCATGCTGTCCCTGCTCAGCTGGATTGCAGTACAGGACATGGCTGTAGCAGATATCAGAACGTGGGGAACAAAAGATAAAAATCTGCAGCAAATTGAGGTTATTAATTTAAATTCTCACGTAATGATTTTTCATACACATGAGACTCACTTCTACAGATTGTAAAAAAAAATAGAATACACACTGAAGGCAGGTTTGGGAAATTAACCTGTTACCTACTTATGGTTATCTGACCAGTGTTACACTATTTCTGGAGTAGATAAAAATATTGTCTCTCTGTATGTTTGTGCATTCCCACATGGAGGAAAGCTTCCTTCTTTTGTTATTTCAATGTAATATTTCCAATTTAAGTGATAGCACTTATCTAATTTCTTGATAGATCAGAAGAAGTGTTGATCCATTCATAGATGGCCTATTTCTTATTTATTTAAGTAATCCATCTTTCTTTCATTTTTCAAATTTTCAAACTTTCGGAGAGTCTGCAGAACTTGAAGTATTAATTTGTATTTTGCTGGCAATGGTTTTAGTGCTCTTTTACTGGTTTTTGAAAGGTGACTCCTTACATAACAAATGTCTATTTTCTGCTTATATCTTGTCTTACCAGTAAATGTGTCGGGATGGTTTTTGTTTCCAGTTTAGAAATAGATGTTTTCTTTATTTATTTAGACTAGATTTTTCATTTTGAAAAGCTATTTGCAGTTACGTTAGAAATCATGCAAGGTTCTCAGGTGAAGGAGCTGTGATCACTGATTACTGCCGCTCTGTAATATTTTAGCCTAGCACTCTAACCAGTGTAATTGTTTTGGGGATATGTTTTGTTTGTAGTTTCTTATGTCCTCTGGAAATTTTTACTGTCTTTGTTGCAATAAGTGTGTGAGCACTGCAGTTAGACAAAAGCACAAAGCCTTCCAGATATTTAATATAGATAGTAAACCAAACTGAGCTTGTTTTCAGTTTCTGTATTGTCCTACTCCTGATCTGTCCATTTTTGATTTATCTACATTCTACATTATTCACTTTAAGGAGCACTTCACCAAATGTTTTGTATAATAGATCTTGCAAGAAGAAAGTACTAACCTTGCTATACTTTATTTTCCTGCTAGACAAGTCCTGAAATTCAGTCACTGTTCATGGGAATAGACACACTGTGCAGGAAATATTCAAAAGAAATAACACAGGTGAATCACCCTTCTTTTTAATTGTGTAAAATAATTAGAAACTTCTACTGCTTTTTTTGAAAGTAGGAAAAATATGTGAATGAATGAATGCCTCACATTGTTTGACTGTTACTCTCCTTGTTTCTTTAATTTCACAGTTTTAGAGTTCTTAAGAAAGCATAAATTGCTTATCATGCCCTTTGCTTATGTTTTCAAAATCTCTCTGCAGACCACTTGTTCTGGTTATTTCAATAATGTAAAATCACTTTTAGTGCCATGAAATGAAAAATGAAATCTTCACCAGGCCCAGATAATGTACGTTAATTTTAGGAATCCACAGTTACATGGTCGAAACCTAAGCTGGCAAAAGCTCTGAAATGAATGCTGCCTTGTTTTTTTTACTTTTTTTCTTTAACAAAGTAAGCAACTTTAAAAATTCCCTGGTCTCAAAACCTAGATTTATTAAAAATAAGAACAATAAAAATAAGAACAATATGATTACTAAAAAAATGAGAAAAGAACCCCATACTCTGATCTGACCTGTTTTAAAATCAGAAACAAGAAAAGATTTCAAGAAATACTTCCTCTCCACCTTCCATAAAATCCAGACTGGACTCCATCCTTCAGGCTTAATTTCTGCTCCATGAACATAAGTAACTTTTTGGGTTAACCAAATACATATAAGCTCCCATTGCCTTTTCACCTTCTCCATATCTTCAGCCTGGCTTTGAGATTTCTTCTTGTCTCTCACGGAACATTTCATTGGCAACTTCAGCCACTCTAGTCGTACTGTAAGTAATGCATCCTCCCTGCACTGACCAGCAACTTTCATTGTTTTGTGCCAGTACCTGTTTGATCTTGTAGTGAGCTTACAGATCCAGCAGAAAAATAATAAAGGGAAAAATAAGGGAAAATCAACTTTTCTCTTCATCTTAGAAATCTCCTAATTGACAATGGTGATTATAGATTTGTTGTACTTCACAAACCTTTCCGAAGTTGAGTCGGTCCTTTCTCACAGCAATCCTCTTCGTGACACAAGGTAAACAAGAAGCCTTCCTCTGTCGTGTCAGACATACAATGTAGAAAGACAAGTAGTTATTCTGTAAACTGAACAAATCCAGGGGTCTGCATTATCAATCACATCTGAATGCAAACTTCTGTAATGTGCCAAAGAAAAGAAATGAGGGACATGATCTTGAAAGTTTAAGGTTGTTATTTTGGTAGTTTGAGATAACCTATAGGAAATAAATGGCCATGTAAAATCTGGAAAAAAAATCAAGAATCAGTCATAATTTCTACTGGCATCACAGGCCGTAAAATAAGCTTGTTCTGTGTTAGAGCAAAACATTTTATAATCTAGTAATTAATCACAACAGCTTGTGCTTAGGAAAGCATATGGGAACAAGGCTCCTATGTAGTGATTTGTCTTCAGAACAGGCTCCTACTGTCAAGCAGTTTATGGCACAAAGATTTCTCAAGGTAGAGATGGTACCATGGATTTCAAAAGCTTTTCTTCTTGAAATTGTCAAGTAGTTTTCTGAATATTTAGCATCTATCATATAATAGGATGTCTGCAAGTTGTACGCAATGTGATGAGTATTTCCTTTTTTGCATGTTTTATCTTGCTATCTGATTTCTTGCTATCATTTGATTTCTTGCATCCTGTGCAAGAGGAGAAGCAACAACTCCCAAGTACTCTGTGCTATTCATTAGTTTTAGGCTGCTAGCATATCCCATCTTCAGCTATCTCTTTGCCAGCAATGAAGACTTGTAATCTATTCAGTCATTCTTTGTATTGCTGCTATTTAATACCTCTAATTTATCTGAATTGTTTCCAGAGCTACTGTATCCTTTCTGAGATGGTAAGAAGACTCAGGGTACAGTATAATCATACACATTGACCCTGAAATGATGATGCTGCCTATTGTTTTTAACCAAAAATTAGGAGAGTGCTTTGAGGTGACCTGATAGTGGCCTTTCAGTATCTAAAGAGGAGCTACAGGAAAGAAGGGGACAGATGTTTTAACAGGGTCGGTAGTGATAGAACAAGAGGAAATGATTTCAATCTTAAAGTAGGTATGTTTAGGTTAGATGTAAGGAAAAAGTCTTTTACAATACAGGTGGTGAGGCACTGGAACGGGTTGCCCAGGGATGTGGTGGATGCCTGTCCCTGGAGACTTTTAAGGACCAGGGCCCTTACCAGGCCCTGGGCAATCTGATCTAGCTGTGAATATCCCTCCCTGTTCGTTGCAGAGAAATTGGACTAGGTGGCCTTTAAAGTTCCCTTCCAGCTCTAAAGGTTCTATGGTTCTATAATCTGACTGACTTTTTTTACTTGCCTACTTATTAGCTTTAAAGAATTAAAAATTCTTAATTAGAATTTTAATTAGAAATTTAGTATGTGAGGAATTCTGATTATTCCCTTCTGAATATTTCTTTTATCAATTCTTCAGGAGATACTTCTCATCTCTTGATAAGTATCCAGTGGGAACCTCCTAGAATCTTGCACTGTGAATCAAAAGTAACGATTTCAGTTACCTACTCCACTATGGGTTTATCTTCTCTGAGTATTCTTGGCTGTCTCTAGTCCTGTATATTTTCTATCTCTTAATATTCTTTCTCTTAATATGTCAGATTTTCTTTCTCTTAATATGTCAGAAGAAAGATTTATTAGTAAGCTTCTGCCTATTGCAATTTGTTCAGCAAGCTCTTGTCCTGCTTTGATTGCATCTCTTTATTATTAACGTGTCGTGCTTTATGATCCTCATCTGGACACAACATGAAGTGCTTACACATCACCTGATAGCATGGCTAACAATTATTTTTTAATTAACAAGATAGTTTTACAAGGCAAGTTATAGTTGCCAGTAAGACACATTACTTTTTATGTTACCATTAATTTTATGTATTTGCTTAGCACTAATGAATAAGAAACACTACAAGTAAATTGTCTTTCCAATTTCTTTACATTATTATTGAACAGTGTTAAAATACAAATTCAGTGAAATAAATCTGCCAACTCTGCCAATCTGTGCTAAATTAATCTTTCTAAGACTTTCCATATCTGATTTTGGACATGGCATGGTTTTTTTGGAAGAATGTTTAAGCAGTTATATGAAGGATATGTTAAGTATTTATCAAAATAGAGAAAAATATACATTCTTTGGTGAGGCTACATAAATGTAATTAGTAGAAGCTAGATATGATTGTGTCAAATTTTATTTTTAGATTTCAGAATTTCAAGAAAAAAATCGTAAACATTTGCTAGCATACCACAGAGAAAAGGTAAATCTAACTATGATTTTCTTATTTTTGTTTATTATGTTTGCCTTATTACTTTGTTCATGTTTTACAAAACGTATTCACTGTTTATCAGAATACTTAGGATCCTTTCTCAGCATTGTCTCCTTTCTGTCCTTACTGGAGGACCAACACTCCATATGTGCCCTAAGTGTGAAATGACAGAGGAAAACTCAGATACATCATACAAGTGCTTTTTTCTGCCATCCTCCTCTGCATGGACTCCGGTTTCTGGGAAAAACTGAGTACTCACAAAAAGGATTCTCACGCTTGCCTATCTTGTTTGTGGTCTCCTTCTTTCTTTCAGTGCATCATCCTTGCCACATGCAACCAACTGCTCTCATGATCTAGATAAAAGTTTCTTTGTTGCTTTTTCTGCCAGTTTCAGACCCCAGAGTGCAGGTGTGTTATGTGTGGTATGGACACTTGGTGTTTATATTCCTGAAAATCTAACACCTGTATTCTTCTGGAACCCAGAAATACTGAAAACTGAATAGTTGTCTAACTTCTTTAAAGCATTTTGGTATTAAAATGATAAGTTCTAGAGAGTGGTAGGTACGCTGTTCTTGATATTTGTGCTGGTCACTCTCTTAATCAAACGTGGCTTAAATTAGGAAAAACAAATAAGGAGGAGTATTAAAAAACCTGTTCCTACATCCACATTTTGTCTTTAAAATGTTTTGCAAAATTTCACATCTGTAAAAACATGCAATACCTCCCCCAAACAGTATGGTCTTGTAAAGATAAAGGAGGAAATGTTTTAAAGGTATTTTTAAAATATTCTGAGAAGCATGATAAGTTAACAAGAAAAGTTATAATTTGTCTTCAAATGAAAATATAAATAGTGTGAAGTAGTGGAGAATTAAAGCCACACAGGAAATTGAGGATAAAATACATATGCAAGATTGAAGCTATTGAATAAATTTTAACATGCTCCATAAAAAGTAATGTATGATCATGTAATGAATAATCCTAAAAATGCACATAATAGGGAACTTATTTAATGTTCTTTGAACTCTACTAGCTGGTAATGTTCTTTAATGGAGATTTTTTAGTCATATCTCTAGCACAATTAGAAACACTCTTCACATAAACTTATTACAAACATACTTCCATGAACTGAATACATTTTGAATCAGGAATAAAAATATGGACATATGGTACTTGGTGTTTTGGAAATACTGTTATTGGTGTCTTCTTCTGGTAATCCTATATTAACTGCTCTGTATCATGGGATCATAGAATACTCTAGGTTGGAGACAACCCATGCTTGAGCAACCACATATCCTTCTTGTAATGAGAGGCCAAAAACTGAACTCCATATTTGAGGCGCGTTCTCAACAGTGGCCCATACAAAGAGGCTGGCCTCAGTGTTTCTGAAGCAACCTCTGCTTGGCCACCTTAGCACACTGCTGACTCACGTTCAGCTGTATGTCAACCTACATTCCCAGGTCTTTTTCCTCTAGGCAGCTTTTCCAGGCATTCTTCCCCTAGCCTATACTGCTGTATGGGGCTGCAATTGAACACAGCCCATCTATGCAGCCTATCCAGTTCCTTCTGCAAAGCCTTCCTACCCTCAAGCAGATCAAAACTTCTGTCCTAATCTGTTAGAATCTACAAAATTAAAAGGTACACTCAATCAATCCCCTCATATCAATTCCCCCAAGCCATGAGCAGCCAGGTTCTCCAGGAAAATACCCTAAGACAGTGTCAAATGTTTTACTGAAACGAGGTAAACAAAATTCATATATCCTTTCCTTCATCTAGTAAGCAGGTTGTCTTGTCATTGAAGGAGATCAGGTTAGTCAGACAGACCTGCCTTTTTTTTCAAACTCATTCTGGCTTCTGATCACTTCCATTTGCCCTGTGATCCTCTCCACCAACTGCCATGGGATTGAGGTCTAACAGGTCTGTAATTCTCTGGATCCCCCTCCCTGCCCCTCTTGTAGGTTGGAATCACATTTGTTAACCTCCGCTCAACAGAGTCCTCCCTGGTTAGCTGGAACTGCTGTTAAATTATTGAAAGCACCTTAGTGAGTATATCAGATATAGGAAAGAGAAAGAAAAATAGAAGAAAACTATTTTAGATGACTTTCTTAGTGTTCATTTATCCAGTATTATGCTTCTTAAGAAAAGATGAAGTCTGTAGGTGCTAAATAGCAGTTCATGTTTTTAGGACTGTCTGGGTAATGTATCAGCTACAGACTTGCCCCCTTGTATCTAATAGCAGGAATGGCAGTGATAATCTAAGATTAAAACCAAAAAGCACAACCTTTCAACGCTTTGGAATGCTGGCAGTGTAAAAGTGAAATTGTACATCATACAAAGACAGCTTGTTTAAATTTTTATGTCACAGAGAGTAAAGCTGGAAGAATCTCTGAGGAAAGCAAGACAGCAACTGCATCAGATACAATGGTAAGAGGTTTAATGCAGCAGAAGCAGAATGATTTTTGGAATCAGATTACAGTAGATTTAATTGATAAAACAATTTAAAATGCTTTTGTTGCCTTTTTCTCATATTGCAGAAATGGAATGAAAGTATTTTTTTCAAAAATAAATGAAAAGTGATTTCTGTCATCAGATCATCTTTTTTTTTTTCTTTTCTTTTTTTCCCCTCCCCGACCACATTATTCAAGCCTATAAGGAAGAAATTGTTTTATTTTTAAATTCAGATCAGTGCTTACACTAGAAGTCTTCAAAAACTTCTGGAAAAATACTTTGCCAGGCTTGGTCTTCTTTAGAGTCCTTTGTGTATATTAAAAATATTCTCCTCCCTATGGATTCCTCTTCATCAAAGGAATCTTGTCACATTTATGATTATCAGTGAATGAAGATCCTGAAATAGCCTCGATAGCACGGTTCATGAAGATGGCACTTTAATAGCAAAACACCATTGATCTTTAATCTTTATTACTTTACTTTTATATTGTTTTTTCATTTTTAGTATAGACTTTCTTTTGAGTCTGATACGCAAATAATACCGACTTATGCTTTCTTGTGGTACTTGGTGTAATATAACTGAAGAAAAACACCATAAAGGAAGCTAGGTGGATTATCATAGTTTGTATACTTTTATCCACTGCCTTCTTTTACTTCTCTGCATCTCATGTAACTAGCACCTTGCTTATAACAACTATAGAGTTCTTCTGAATTCTCATAGAATACTATCAAGACAGCATGACCTAGGGGATCTCCTCATATGCTCAGCAGACCCGCTCCTCCTTTGTGCAGTTATTGGCAGAAGTATCAGTTTTACGTAGCTGCCAACATTTCCTTTGAAATTCAGATTTTTTTAAAGTTGGGTAAATGTATACATGCAAATGAAGATTTTTGACACAATTGCAGTTCATAAGTTGTTATATTTTAACATGTTGTTCCATGAAATGGCCGTGTTGTTCCATACAATCTTATTTCATTAGACATCATAATGTTTTCTTAAATTTACCCTACTGAGCATGCAGTGACTAATGTAGGCATTATGTAGAAAAGACGAACTTAATAGCTGCTCAGATATGCTGCATATTTTGCTTCCTGGTAAGCAGTGTCATGTTAAAACCAGCTATTAATGTATAAAAAGTACTTTGATATTGACCAGCTAGAAATATGAGGTAACCAAACCATCCTTCAGTTTATATCCATGTTTCTTTTTCTCTTTTAGTATGAAACCTCCTCAGCAAGCTACTCAACTGCCATTTGCCAGTACAAGCAGAAATCCACTTTCCAGTAAGAAGCACTGGTTTAAGATATTAACAGTGGAATGCATATGAGTGGACATAACAATATTCTCATATTAATTTTTTTAAATTCTTTAATAACTTTAGTGCCTTCAAGAAGACTGAATGGGTATTCCTCATATTCTCGTCAACCTAGTCATCCTTCTTCTGAAACGTAGGTGCAAATCCTTAATTTTAAATGGAAATCTAAAGAATGACAATGTTGTAATATCTTATACCCCAAACAATATCTTTTAGAGTGAGTTTAAAATGAGTATCTTTTTCTGATTTATTTGTTGTTTGTTTCTGCAAACTGTGGTGGTATAAAGGCACTGGGGATATCTATCCTAGAGTACATAATAGCTGGTTTTATAGATTGCCTTTGTACTCACTAGATGGCATGATGCACCTTATTCTGGAGATGTCTGTACAGACGATTGATTAATTGGTGAGCAACGAGAGCTTCTCCATTTATCTGTAGGGGAATATATAAATGACTTGTACAGACAGCTATGTTTGCACTATAGTTATTTAGATAGGATGAACTTCAGCAAGGCATTCAATGCCTATTTAATTTTAAATAAATTGAACATACAGCTCACTCAAGCTAAAAGATATCTGTATTTATTCATAAAAAAAAAAAAAATTCAAAATGCCCTTGTAGTGTTGACAAGTGACAAATAAGTGAGTATGATATAAAATGAATTTCTTGGCAGATATCTAAACCAACCTCAGTATCAGCTGATGGTGAGCTTTGGAACAGGTGCAGCATACTTATTATATATAACATGTTACATTTCTAGTTATTAGTAAACTTTACATAATTTTAGTCATCGTAAAGAATGTGCTGTTTTTAATTTCAATGTCATACTTCTTTTCACATTTGTTGTAAGAATGGAGTCAATGGAGGTTGATCCTGTACCTTCACCAATGAGGAAAGTAAGTTTCTGTATATGTGTGTGTGTATTTATAAATATACATCTTCTTCGGTTTCTCCAACCCCATTACCACTGTAGAAAAAAGATCACTACTCCCCTGACTTCCGTCCTCCTCAGCACCCCCGCCTGCCTCCAGTTCAGACCAATTCATACTCACTTCAGCTAAGCAGAAGTTCCTCAAAACAGAATAAAAAAGAAATGAGCCTCAACACTGTTTTTCTAAAATTCTTTTCTTCACACATCACAGAATAGCTGAGGTTGGAATGGGACTCTAGAGGTCCTCTTCTCCAAATTCCTGTTCAAGCAGGGCCACCAGCTGTCCCAAACAATGTCCAGACAGCTTTTAAATTATTATAAACTTTGTCTCTCTAAAAACTGTAACTTAGCTCTGAGATTTTGTATTTTAGTGCCGTGAACAAACTTGGAAGTGGAGAGTGCCAGAAATCTTCAGGTTTATGGTGCTCCAAACAGTAACACTCTAGCTTAAAATACATTAATAATGAATGCACTTATGCACTGTAATTAATACTATATTTTTCTTTTAGCCTGAGACAATGACTGGTCCAGCAAGATTATCAGTTATAACTCCACCGCAGGATGGACGCATGGGTAAATGAGAAGAAAGTTGTTAACTGAACAAAATGTATCACTTTAAGGGAATTAATAAATTAAAATTGTTGCATTAGCACTTCACTGTCAAAATGTGAATTGTGTTGAGGTGTAAACAATTCATCATATCGAATTCAGCAGATGGGAAATGGTTAAAAATGGTGAACAGAATAGTTTTCCCACTACTTACCTTCTCTGTTCTGTGAATTTTTTTTTTTTTTTTTTTTTTTTTTTTTTTTGTGACATTTACTGATTTATTCTCAACCGGAGTCAACATGCCTAAAGAAAATACAGTAATGATGTGGTTGAACAAAACATACATACTTAAATTATATGTTGTTGGCCTTCCACTGGCCTTCATGTTTATGCTAGTTTGTATATAGTTACCAGAAACTGACACTGTCTAAAATATTATGCTAAAAATCACTTGAGGGAAGGAAAGAAGCTAAATTGAAGTTAGAGAAATATTTTGTAACAAAATTAAAGCTTATTTTGTAACTAGAATTAAATCTGAAGAATTTAGATGAAGGATTTCTTCTCGTTTGTTAGGCATGCTATCACTATATTTAAGTTGAAGACATTTTACATGACTATGATTTCTTTCCTTGGCTGTTAAGATCTTGGGTGGCTCTCCTATGTAAATAAGACATAAATGACAGCCAATTGAAAATAGTGTGATTTCTTTAGGCATTGTTTGTTTGTGAGGAGTTTCCTAGAATTTCTAATGCTCTGCAGGTCTCCACCATTTCTGTGTCCCTCCCCTTCTCAGTATTACATTCAACACAGTTCTGCAATAGTTCATCCTCTGCAATTCTTGTTTAGTTTGGAGAAGAGAAGGCTCTGAGGAGACCTCATTGTGGCCTTCCAGTATTGAAGGGAGCGTATAAACAGGAGCCTGGTCTGGTAGTTGGTGACCCTGCGCATGGCAGGGGGGCTGGAACTCAATGATCATTGTGGTCCTTTTCAACCCAGGCCATTCTGTGATTCTATGATATGATTTATCTTACAACTGGCTTCAGCAGTTAGGAGAATCCATCTCCAGCTACATGCAGAGTGTACTTCAGTAAATGTCTTTTTTGAGCTAAATCCCTGCAAATGCTTTTTTTTTTTTATTTTTTTTTTATTTTTTTTTTTATTTTTATTTTTAGGGTTATTTTAATTCTTTCTGACACAATAACTTCATTTTATCAGCCATTCCCAGGTATTTAATTTTCTATTGTAATTTTGCAGTGATTCTCATTCTTGAATAAACTGGTCATGAATTTGTCCCAAATAATGCAATTAAGTTATTAATAATTTTTTCCAAAATGATCTCCTAATTAAAGAGGATAATTCATTTTGGCTCTGTTGTAAAAAATGTAATTCTTACAGGTAGTGTATCCTACAGAAGTTCTCAGTCATCTGGAATAACATCAAGTCAAACTACAGCAGTATCTACCAGGTAATTAAAAACCTTTCAATGATGTTAACAGTCTCTTGTGAGACACTGAAATTTATCTCTTGCCTAGCCTTTACAAATCTGTACACTGAAAGGCTATATTTTACATCTTAAGGAATGTTACTGTGTAACATTTGCATAGGTTACTAGCTGTCACCTATACAAAAGTTAATATTATTTGAAGATTATATTTTGAAAGTACTTTCTTCAAAAATGTGCAGAGATAATCTGAGTTCCTGTACCCGTGGACATCTGAAATCATGGTGCTTTTATACAAAGGGTAGTTAATTTCAACTAAGAATGTGGAATAAGCACTCTGCTTAATAAATCTTCTGAAAGTCAAGAATGTAAATGTAAGCAAGAATTATTCTCTGATTAAACCAAACATCTTCATTGGGTGCGTCATGGGTCTTTTAATGTTTTTCATCTAAGTAGTGAAAATATCTTAATTTTTTAGAACTATCAGCATCAACAGAAGAGATATAAAATGGTTACAGAAGAAGATAGTCTTGTAGTCTGCAATCAAGCTCAGTGTGCCTCCTTAGCATAAATTTTAAATATATGCAACAGAATATTTCTTTTCTATCTCAGACTCTTGGATTAGACCATTTGTTTTCTTCTGCTTTTTACTTACATAAAAATCATGTCTATCTAAAAATCGGATGAGGAATCTGTAGAACACAAGAATACTTTGTATTTCCTATTGAGATATTAACAATATGAATTAAAAAGGTTTTGAAGTCTCTTGTTCTGTGACAGCAGTCTCAAATTTTATCCTTTAATAATTTTCATTAATAGATCCACACCTATAGGACTACCACATAATGGATGTTCACTTATATCACCATCCGGATCACAAAACAGTAGGAGGGGATCATGGTCTGCTTCTGATTTCAGAACTCCTCCATTATATCAATTTACATTACCTTCACCACAGTCATCTGTAGCAAGACCTCCAATCACCATTTCTGGAATTCTACAAAGACAACATTTAGGCAAGTATCTAAGAAAATAACAACATTTAGCACTTTTTCCTGAAAGAAAGTTGGTACAATATGTGCTTGTGAATGACTTATTTACTGCAAAAGAGTAAATAATAAATTATGATCCATATTTAGCCTTAATCTTCAGTGCAACAAAGTATCTTGCTTCACCCAGAATAATATTTTAAGAGGTTTAAATTTGATCATTTCCACATTGCTTTCTAGTAAAATACCAATTCTAAACAATTTGGCAAATCTAATCATGTAGTCTTGAGTAAAGAGCAGACAATAGAAAACCTTTAGTGACACAAGTGCAGTGAATCAGTAGCAGTCATAGCAAGACTGAAATCATCAGCAGGAGTTCCTTAATAGAGCAGAATATTTGAGCTGACATATGAGAATGATGGGGAAAAAAAACCTGTGTATAATGAAAGGAATGAATAGGAAACAGATTCTGTACAAAAAAACCCTGAAGTGCTGTAGAAAGTGAGTGACAGTGAATGTCTCTCTATATTCAGTGAAGAAAAAAAGGGAGCACAAAAGGAAATCACAGCATTTGTAAGGTGAGAAGTATTAGTGATCTGACCATTAGGAGAAAAAGGAAGATGCATTTAGTTTGGGAGGAAAGGCTTAGATGATACTTGTAGTCATATCTACAAGCTGTTTTTCCCATATTCTAAACTATACAATATTCATTTATCTAATTATTACTTGCTACCCAATCACAGTCAGAAGGTGACATAAGTGAAAACTAATTTACATGTTCTAAAAAATTCTCTCATACTCAAATTATGAGTGCTTAATGAACTTGAATATGTCATAACTGCTTTAAATCTGGAATATCTGCATGTGAAATAATGCATAAGCCTTGCAGGTTCTATTTAAAAAACAGAGTAGATATCTACATTATTAAAATAAGCAGCTATGTGGAACTGAAGTACTGATTTTCTTTGAGCTATATGTTTTATAAATTTTCAAGCTAATTTAGTTCATAGACAGAACAACAATATTTACTTTGAACTTTCATTTCTGCAGCTGAAATTGAAATAGGACACATTCTTCAACAGAAAGATAAATATTTTATGTAAATAAAAAGGAGCATATTTAGATTCGTAAAATACTGTAAAAATCATAATCAAAATGTATCTTATATTTTAAACTTCTATTCATTTTTACTTTCCTTTTTCCCCAAATGATTTACATGAATAAATTCTTCTTTAGAACTTACTAAAATATTTCTGTTTGTATTCCTATTCTAGGATCAGCTAGTTTTGGAGGACAAACAGCAGAAAGATAAGCAAAAATCCGTGATTTATTTTGTTCAGTAAGCATTTTGAAAAGCTGTGCACTGTTGTTGGATATCAAAGTGTTTGTAATTTCTATAAAATGCCAAAGTAGCATAAAACAACTATTATTCAGCATGAATAATGTATCTAAAACTTGCCAGTAAAATCTATAGTAACTTTAAGCAGGATTACAAAAGATTCTGGCTTTTTAAAGGAATTTTGGTTTAAAATATATTGTAAGAATTGTAAAAATAAATTGCTTTTGTTAATGAAGTGTTAAGACAAAAGAATGCTTTTATATTCAATGAGCTCTTCTTCCTGTAAATGCAGTGAACTGCAGCAGAACTGATCTTAAATAGTTGTGTCTGTACAGATGAACCCCTGTCCAAAAACTATTTTACCGTTAGACATTAAATCAAATAGACATTTGATTCCAAAATCCAAATTTGGGTTCTTATTCAAGAGATTACCTTTTGTAGAGTTAGAATACAGTCGCCAACTTCCATTATAAGCGTCCCTCAATGGCTTTCTATTTGTTTGTCTCACAAGAAGGTATTATTTATAATTTCTTTAATTTCTTCGATTTTCTATTGTATCTTATCTCACTGTGGAGTCATCACCCAGGGTCACAGTCAAAAGCATCTCTACATGTCAAGCAGAAATGCCTTTGAGTGACATTCAAGGCATCCCAGTTCATATGAAACAAGAAGTCCAAAACAAATTAAAAATATATAAATATAAGAATATACTAAAAAGAAAACCAAAAACACAACAGTTTCCTCCATCTAACAGTAAGCACAAAAGTCACTATATTCAGCTCCCAGGTATCCATCTTCACTGATATTTTCTTGCTTTGGAGATGAATTACGCTCGTTTATCTTAAAGAAAATTTGCAGTACACTAATGATACACCAGAGGGTGCTAACTTACCTCTAAACAGTTTTAGTTCTACCACTCATTCGGGTAAGTGGAGTTCTTATATTAGCTTTTACAATTTGGGATTTTTATAGAAAAGCAAAAGATGATACAAAGAAGTGCAATAAAGTGATGTTTGAGTCTGAAGATAAAATATCAGAAAAGCATCTGAATATGAAACAAAAGAGGAGGATTGAATGTTAAAACAATAATTCAGATAGAGTATTTTAAAAACTTCAGAAAAAATAATAGAAGCAGAGATTAGTCATGCTTGTGGAGTTACAACGGTGGTCTGAAGGAAGAAATTAGTTAGACCTAATACTGGGAAATGGAGCAGAGTACTTTGGCACTGTGCTAGTTTCTGAGGATAGGGTCAATGCACCCTCACAGTGGTTACTCAACACTTCTGAGAGAAGACAGCATGGTGTATAGCTTTGAAAAACACAGAGACTGAGTGATCCATGAATTCTTTTCAGTCTTTCTGTCTGAAGCTTTCTGGCTTCAACTTGTAGGATAGCACTGATTTTTCTTTTGCAGTTTTGTGGGAGAGAACACAGGAGTGTATATATTTCACCACAAGGGTGTTTTATGAGTGTATGAAGAAAAGATTTTATTACTAGTCAGAATCATATTATTCATGCAGTAAGGTCACCATGGATGCTTAAGCTGGCCTCTTGTTTGCATTATCGTTGCCAGCTTCAACTTCGTTTCACAGTCATCACTTATCTTTTTCACAAGGTGATAGTTATACCATATAAGGTAACATCATGTGTATTTATTGCTTAATAATACAAAAGAAGTCTGTAGTAGACAAAAGCTTAGTCTGTTAGACATAATATCTGATACTTGCCAAGTAGCATTTTCTACAATTGTGCCAATTAAAATGTGAAATTGCTGCTACTTGGTTTTGAAATCTCGTGTTCTGCCACTCTGCAGATCAGCTTAATCTGCCCCTAGGGTGCATGTTCTGCTGCTGATGGTCAGACGTGCAGTTGTGTCAAGCTCTTCCTACCAATCTCTCCTATGAGGACAGAAACATCCTTCTTAAGAACGACACTTCTCATGTCAATTCTAAATTGAGCGCAGCACCAGCACCATCAACTGCTACAAAACTTTACAAGGGAAACTGCATAATTTGCAGAAGATTTTGCCGGTTGAAAATCTTCACGGAGAAGGTTAGTGATTTCCTGCTCAAAGCTCCCTTGGCAGGTGAATCCCATGGCCTCTGGTCAGATTTCCATCATTTATGTTTACAGCACTGATGCTTTGTCCCATGGAGAGATGCTGAAAGTTTGTTCCCGGACTCACAAGAAGATAGTAGTACTAGGGACTAGGATGTCTGTTGTCTGGAGGAGATAGAGAAGGAACTTTCATGGGATGGTGAGGAGGGACAAGGGTATGAGTATTAAATACTTTTCAGAGTTAGGAGTCAGCAAACAAGCAGTGTTATGAAGTTGTTTACTCTTAACCACCAGCAGAATAGGAAAACTATTTCTGTTCCATAACTGAAAACAACATGGGAAAGGTCCTTCAGAGCTCTGCCCATAAAAAAAAAAAAAACAACAGCCCACTGATCTGACTTATCCTAGACCTATATAGAACCTAACGAAGTCAGGAAGAGGGCTGCTCTATGCCCAGTCCACTTTGAAATCTTCTAAAACTTATCCAGAAGTGCTGCCAAGGCCTGTATGCAAAAAAAAAAAAAAAAAAAAAAAAAGTCTGCAAAAAGTCAACATTGCTGAAATAATCCCCTTTAATTTTGGCACTCTACCCCATGCAAGTGTTTTTTTGTTTTGTTTGTTTGTTGTTTTTCTAACCAGCACAGAGCCTTTGGAAGAAAGGCATACAACACATTTCCTATCAGATCAGCCTCCATAATAAGATCAAAGGCTATCTATCAGCATGCTAAGAATCTGGAGGAAACAAAATAAAAAGAGGAAAATGAAGATCAGTCCTGGTAGACATTCCTAAAGGCTTTTTTTGGCTTTTACCTTAACCAAGCACATGTTACAGCCATGTTTGACATCCTTGCCCAGCACAGTGTTGAGCCAAACAGAAGCTGACTTTGGAGATGGTCTGACTACATCTGTGTCTTTATGAATTTGGCTGTGCGGAGTGCAGTGAAAAAGACATTTCAACCACCTCCAGCTCCTCTGAACTCAACTGATTTCAAATTGGCAGGAGGGCAGAGAGCTGGTAATGACAGCAGGTGATGATAAACAAGGCTCTGTGGAATGACAGTAAGGAGCAGGTGGGCCGTTTGGGATTACCCAATCCAGTCTCAGTTAGATTTTGACCTCAATCTGCAAACAAGACCTGGCCTGAGAGGGGATCAGTTCTGTATGTGTTTGCTGTTATGTTCACAGCTGTCTGTAACATGGGAGCTTTATGAATTGGTGATAAAAGCAGGAAAAACTAGCTGGGAGGTGGAAGGCAGGGTAAGGGGAGGAGAAAAAAAAGCTGTTTGGAACACTGGGGAACTTTTTCAGGGCAAAGAGCCACCTTCCAGTCTCACTTAGCTTTTCTCCCTGCTCATGCACATTGTCCTTTCTGTTGTTGCCCATGTGACATTAGTGATGGACTGGTCCAGGCTTGTTTAAAGAAAGGAGAAACAGAGGCAGCCAAAGAGCTGGTTGAATGCCTCTTGTCAAGATTCTGCTCTTTCTATTCTTTGGTATCTTGTTTTTAGGAATAGATGCACATATCTGGATTTTGTTTCCTGTGCTGTTCACTGTGAACTCTGAAATGAGCATTTCTAGCTTTCTGTATTTGTATTTCCCCTTCTATTACTATGTCTTTAGTACATAGAAATGACTAGCATATCTTTTACAAATTCTACAGCTTCTCTACTTCAGGAATAAATAGTTTAAGGAATAAGTAACAATCGTGAAGCAGGGGAATTGCACATTTTCACAGCCATAGAGCACTTATTCCTAACAGCATTTCACAGCATACCAATAGTCTACACTGTGTGCTGGAATAAAAGCAACAAAGCCTTGTAATGCTACAGCACCATACATTAAATGTTTACAGAAACCTAAAACAAGGAACTCCAGTTTGTGTGTGAACTACCAAGTTTGCAGACTGTTAGTGTTAGACTAAAAAGCTTCTAACACAGCACACGGCAAATACATTAGTGCTATTTTCCAGAAAGCATCATTTTCCCAAGTTATAGGTCTTACTGACAGATGCAGTGGAAAGGCCCATTCTGCCAATTGTCTGCTTCCTTCATATCCTCTGATTTTGGTGCAAGTTTAAAGCAATGTGCTTTAATAGCCTCAGCCCACTATTTTGAAAACTTGCAATGTTATATATCTGTGTGGAAAGTCACATCTCAATGACATTTGGTTGGCACAGTGGGTTTTGAGAAAAAATGTATGAGAAACAGTGTGAGCCTGTATGCAGTAAACTCACATTTTATTTGCTCATATATCACTTTGTCAGGGTTTTCAATAGCTCTTGTGGAAAATGTGTGAATGAAATGTAAAGCAGCTTTTACATACAGTAAGGGTTTTTTTTAAACATAGTATATATTCTCACAACCTATGGCACATACGATGTGCTGGGTAGTACAGCCTTGTCTCCCTGTCAAAAAAAACCACCCAAGTAAACTCTTTCTCAAATTACCATTTTGCAGGACATGTCCGAGGCTCAGTAACTGGTACCCAGCCATGGATGCAAGAGGACATGGGGGAACTGTACCTTTGCTTGCTCTTGCCAGTATGATGCTGTGGTTATGGATTTAGAGGAAAGCTGCTGCACATTTCCAGTTCAGCTTCAATCTGGGAACTGTGCAAGCTGTAACCCAGCTGCAGCCACTCTTGCTTCACACCGTAATTCACTGCCAGCTAATAATAATGTGAAGACTCCTGGAGCCTTTTTGCACAGCAGATGAAACAGCAGACTTACAGAGTTCAGGAACAGGGAGCTTAGAGTCTTATGAATAGGCTGACAATGCAGTTCTTGGCATCTCTGTAGGAATGGGTAGATGGGACAAAAAGCCAAATCCATGTTGGGGCATGGAAATGTATTCGGAGACCTTGAGCATCAGTACCTTGCACTCCTCCTCCTCCTAAACCACACAGATTGAGTTTAC